CCCGAGAGCTCAGAGGCACCGAGTCAGCCTGACCTCCCCACTGGCCCGGGCTGAGTTCCGGCAAGGTGCCCGTCTCTGTGCCTCCCCCGTCTCCTCTGGACTGTGGAGCTGGAGGGAAGATGAAGTGAGCTGATACATGGAAAGCACATAGGAGGAGCTCATTAAAAGCTAGCCTTTGTTTTTATTCCCAGAGATAAAGAGGAGAAGAGCAAAGAAGAGAAATGAGAATCATGCAGAGAAGCAGGGAAGGAGAAAAACTCAGAAGCAGAGATGGCTGCAGCATCTGCCCAGCCAGAGACAGCAGGAAGGGGGTGACCAGGCACAGGTCAGGGTCAGGTCAGGAGCACCCCTACCTCGGCCTTCACCTGCACAAGCTCACGGTTTGCATGGGCCTAGGGGTGTGGCCGCCGGTCCAGACAGAGCGTGAGGCCTCAGGGGAGAAAGGAGAGGGAAAAGGCTCAGGGTCTGGACATAACTCAAGAGGCAGACAGGTGAGCTGAGGTGGCTTGACTTCATTTCCTCAGCATGCCAGAGCCGTGCCCAGTGGTGTGCTGGCAAAAATTAACCTCTTACCAAAACCGGTTTGGCTCACTGAAGGGTCCCGGGTTTGATTCCGGTCAAGGGCACATGCCCGGGTTTCGGTCTCCATATCCAGTGGGGGCATGCAGAAGGCAGCTGATCAATGATTGGCTCTCATCATTGATATTTCTATCTCTCCCTTTCCCTTCCTCTCTGAAATCAATTTAAAAAATTTTTAAGAACTCCTTTATTTTTAAAAATATGTTTGTATTGATATTTTTCAGAGAGAGAGAGAGAGAGAGAAACAGCGATGAGAGAGTAACATCGATCTGCCTCCTGCGTGCCTCCTACAGGGGATCAGCCTGCTACCGGGCATGTGCTGAACTGTGCCTGACCTGTGATCTCGGTGCGGGGCTGGGCTGAAAACAACTCCTTGGGGGCTGTTTGCAGAAGGACCACCAGGGGGCGCGTGCAGGAGCAGGGAGAGCCGCTCTTGCAATCCAGAAAGAGGGAGTGGGAGGAGCAGGGGGAGGAAGTCAGGAGGAGGGGGGAAGGGTGGGGATGAGGGGGAGAAAGATTGGGAGAGGGGAGGAGAAGGATAGGGAATGTGGTGAGCAGGAGGGGCAAGGGGAAGAGGGAGGGGAGGAGATGATGGTGGCCGGACAGAGCGGTGGTCTGTGAGAGGTGTGCGGTGTGGAGAAAGGCTCTGTCCTGAAGGTGGAAGCAGCTACACCAGCTGCCGGAACACACTATGCAGGAATGTAGCCACCCACCGGGCTGATGCCCCCTCCATCTCTCCCCTCCCACTGCCCCCTCCATCCCTCACCTCCCACTGCCCCTCCATCCCTCCCCTCCCACTGCCCCTCCATCCCTCCCCTCCCACTGCCCCCTCCATCCCTCCCCTCCCACTGCCCCCTCCATCCCTCACCTCCCACTGCCCCCTCCATCCCTCACCTCCCACCTGCCCCCTCCATCCCTCCCCTCCCACTGCCCCCTCCATCCCTCCCCTCCCACTGCCCCCTCCATCCCTCACCTCCCACCTGCCCCCTCCATCCCTTACCTCCCACCTGCCCCTCCATCCCTCCCCTCCCACTGCCCCCTCCATCCCTCCCCTCCCACTGCCCCCTCCATCCCTCACCTCCCCCAACTCCCCCTCCATCCCTCACCTCCCACCCTGCCCCCTCCATCCCTCCCCTCCCACTGCCCCTCCATCCCTCACCTCCCACTGCCCCCTCCATCCCTCCCCTCCCACTGCCCCCTCCATCCCTCCCCTCCCACTGCCCCCTCCATCCCTCCCCTCCCACTGCACCTCCATCCCTCACCTCCCACTGCCCCCTCCATCCCTCCCCTCCCACTGCCCCCTCCATCCCTCCCCTCCCACTGCACCTCCATCCCTCACCTCCCACTGCCCCCTTCCATCTCTCACCTCCCACCTGCCCCCTCCATCCCTCCCCTCCCACTGCCCCCTCCATCCCTCCCCTCCCACTGCCCCTCCATCCCTCCCCTCCCACCTGCCCCCTCCATCCCTCACCTCCCACTGCCCCCTCCAGTCCCTCACCTCCCACCTGCCCCCTCCAGTCCCTCACCTCCCACTGCCCCCTCCAGTCCCTCACCTCCCGCCTGCCCTCTCCATCCCTCACCTCCCACCTGCCCCCTCTGGTCCCTCCAGGCTCTCACCTCCGTCAATGGTCAGTGGGAGCTCCGTCCTCCCCGTCTCAGGTCAGAGGGCCCAGGTCGATGCTGGCTCCTCCTCTCGCCCACCCGCCCACTCTGCGGGGTCTCTTCCACCCACGGCCACAATCCGTCCGGAAGGCTGCCCCTCCCCACCCTGCTCAGCCTGTAAGCCAGCGCCTCTCACCGGGATCCTTGCACCAGCCGGCAAGCTGCTTCCACACTCGCCCCCTGGGGTGATTGCAACAACCAACCAGACCCTCCAACGACCCCCTCACCAGCCTCTGAAGGCCTCGCTCTGCCCCTGACCCACCCTTGGTTTAGGGGTCCTGGAACGTCTCCTAGAGTCCTCCCTATCCACTCGGCTCTGCCACACTCCCCTCTTCCCTCCTCACCACTCCGTGCTCCCCTCCTCCCTGCTCTCCACGCTCCCCTCCTCCCCTCCTCCCCGCTCTCCACGCTCTCCTCCTCCCCGCTCTCCACACTCCCCTCTCCCCTCCTCCCCGCTCTCCACACTCCCCTCCTCCCTGCTCTCCACACTCCCCTCTCCCTTCCTCCCTGCTCTCCGCACTCCCCTCCTCCCCGCTCTCCGCACTCCCCTCCTCCCCGCTCTCCACACTCCCCTCCTCCCCGCTCTCCGCACTCCCCTCTCCCCTCCTCCCCGCTCTCCACACTCCCCTCCTCCCCGCTCTCCACACTCCCCTCCTCCCCGCTCTCCACACTCCCCTCCTCCCCGCTCTCCGCACTCCCCTCTCCCCTCCTCCCCGCTCTCCACACTCCCCTCCTCCCCGCTCTCCACTTTCCCCTCCTCCCCGCTCTCCACGCTCTCCTCCTCCCCGCTCTCCACACTCCCCTCCTCCCCGCTCTCCACACTCCCCTCCTCCCTGCTCTCCACACTCCCCTCTCCCCTCCTCCCCGCTCTCCGCACTCCCCTCTCCCCTCCTCCCCGCTCTCCCCTCCTCCCCGCTCTCCACACTCCCCTCCTCCCCGCTCTCCGCACTCCCCTCTCCCCTCCTCCCCGCTCTCTACACTCCCCTCCTCCCCACTCTCCGCACTCCCCTCCTCCCCGCTCTCCACACTCCCCTCCTCCCCGCTCTCCACACTCCCCTCTCCCCTCCTCCCCGCTCTCCACACTCCCCTCCTCCCTGCTCTCCACACTCCCCTCTCCCTTCCTCCCCGCTCTCCGCTCTCTCCTCTCCCCTCCCCCGCTCTCCACACTCCCCTCCTCCCCGCTCTCCGCTCTCCCCTCTCCCCTCCCCCCGCTCTCCACACTCCCCTCCTCCCTGCTCTCTGCACACAGGAGGCGGGCTCCTCCCTCAGGCCCTCAGACTGTCCCCCCCACCCCCCCAGTCTGGAATGCTCTTCATTCCCTCTTGCTTCTCCTCCGTTGGGGAGGCCACCCACCCTGGTGTGTCTGGAGCTGCGGGTTTCCTGGGACTTGAGACTTGGGTTGTAAAACCAGGGACGTCCAGGACGGTTGGGCACCATAGGTAAGCACACCGATTGCTCCACATTTTACATCCTTCTTCTGTGGATCAGCCCCCGACTGACTGTAAACTCCAGGGAGGCAGAGCTTTCTGTCTGCCTGGCTGATGGCGGCCTCCCCAGCCCAGCAGCTCCATCGGCTCACAGAAGACGCTCCACAGAGACTGCTGATGAGGGGATGGCCTGTGGCCAGCCTGGTCCCCGGAGACTGTGCCAAGGGCTGTGCGTGGGCTTTTAAACCCTCTAGGAGGGAGGCCGCCTCCGGCTGGGAGCAAGCCGAGTGCTTGGCCCGGAAATGGGCACAGACCTAGGGCCTGACTGTCCGCCATTCTCAAGGGCAGAAGCTGGCAGTGTTTGCTGAGGGAAGTGGCTGAGGGTGCCAGGGCCCAGCTTGGGCCGCTGCATGCGGCCTGCTGACCACTGCCGCCCCCCTGGCTGCTCCTTGTGAAAAAAGCAGCCTCATCCCCCTGGCCAGGGGGCCTAAGAGGGGTGCCTGCTCCCCTCCTCCGCCCACCTCTCCCCTGCGGTCTCCCCCTTTGCTCCATCGCTGTGTGCCCGAGAGCTTCCCTCTGAGTGCATCAGGCTAGCGCCTGGCCCTGGCATCCCCACTGTGTGCCCCTGAGCCCACGATGAGACCACTCCAAGGCCCAGTGTCCATCTGGAAAACGGGGTGATGACTCCTGAGGGTGAAATGAGATTACCCACGTCAGGCCCCAGCAGTGCCTGGCCCAGCGGGTGCTGGTGATGGTGCTGATGATGGTGGTGCTGGTGATGGTGGTGATGATGATGGTGCTGATGATGGTGGTGATGATGATGGTGCTGGTGATGGTGCTGATGATGGTGCTGATGATGATGGTGCTGGTGATGGCTGTGATGATGGTGATGGCCATCACACCTGGCACCCGATAGGTGCTCAGCCGGGGGTCCTGCTCTCTCTCTGCCCCATCGGGGAGCCAGGCTGCACGGAGACTCTAGGGGTGCTCCTGAGACAAACCCGCCTCCCACCCCAGACCAAGGACGTCAGAAGTCTGGTGACGGCTATGGCGGTGGTATTTAAATGTTCAGTTTATTTTTATATTTTAGGGGTCCATTGGAAAGACCCCAGGGGAGAGCCGCACTGACCCGCAGCCTGGGGTGACCTTGGACACCCGGCTTCACCACGGAAAGGCCCGGGTCCCGGGTCCCCTCAGCGCGGCACACCGGAGGCCCGGCCACCAACTCAGACACGCGGCCTGGACACTGGCTGGAGAGCAGCTGAGCTCAGCTGGGGGCTGAGAGGCCAGGGCAGCCCGTGGGGAGCCGGGCCTGCGGGGGAGCCGCGGGGCTCAGTCAGACAGGTCCCCGTCCGCGGGGTCACCGGGGCTCCAGCCGCCGGCCGCCCGCTCCATGGCTCTCACCCAGCGGCCCCTCAGCTCCTCGCTGTCGGCCCTGAAGGTGTACAGCAGGCCGGACTGCTGCAGCTGGAAGGCTCGGGGGTCCCCCTGGGGCCCGGCGGTCACCTGGTAGCCCAGCAGGGGGATGGAGGTGTGAGCCCGGATGTCCTGGGAGGGAGGAGAGAGCCGTGGGCCACGGTCCCCCATCCAGCCCCGCGGCCTCCCACAGTCACACACCTGCTCCCACGCCCCCGCGGCCCCGGGAGGGGAGGGCTGGGGGAGGACCAGGGGACAGGAGAACGGGCCGCCCCTTGAG